AGGCACACACTCCTTACAGGCCTGACGAATCAATGGCTAACTGGAAAAGGATTGCAGCCTCACATTTCTATCTAAATACACATTAGGAATTCACTCATAACCCAACCATCCATTCGGGTTTGACATATTGCTATAGGAAAACAGATTTAAATATTTAACATACCTGCAAAAGGACTCACTGGGAAGCTATGTTAGTGTAGGGCAGAGCCTACCAGCTAGGACACCCTGAGTCCCTGGGTACAAGTGCCCTCATCTGGTCATCAGAGGCAGCCCCATTCACTCCCTTCGTGCCATATAAATGTTGTCTTTTCTGCGGTATCATTTTCTAAGTGGGACAGGAATTAAAACAACAACATTTTTGGAAGCACTGAGAAGTTTATAAAAGAGTGTATTTGGGGGATTCATCTAGTCATTTAATAGATATCCAGTGTGGAGATCTTACAACCTTGGGAAGGTAGCTGTTTTACCAGAACAGAAGTTTATACAGCTGTTGCCTCTTAGGTTATACAACTCATCTGTCTCCTTTGAAGGCTGGTGGATGATTCAAGGTCACCTTGGGTCCTTACTGGGTGCCAGGTAGCATGCTCAGTGCGGAGGTGTCTCAGAGAACCAGAGACAATGTGGCCCCAGCCCTGACAGAGCTTACTGTCAAGCAAAGTACACAGACTCAGAAGTACGTACACAGAACCATCAGCAGCATCGGGATGTGTGCTGTGAAGGCACGTAATGAGGAACCTGAACTATACTCCAGCAGATCAGATAGAGCTTCTCCGAGGAAATGATAGCGAACTTGAAGCCTGCAAGATGAGAGACCAGCTAAGAGACGGCAGGTCTGGAGGCTCTAGGCAGAGTGCAAAGGATGTCTGAGGACCATGGTGTTGAAGCATTAAGTTTAAAAACGAGCCTGGCAGAGCTGGGCAGGGGCCAGAGAACACATGACCTTGCAGGCCAGGCTTAGAATTGGGGACTTAATTTCAGGAGTAATGGAAAGTCACTGCAAGTGTCAAGCAGGGAGACAGACCCCCAAACACATTTTTTAAATGCACACTCTTAGGCTCTAGCCTGGAAGATTCTGGTGGGCTGGCCTGGGCCCCCAAATCTGAATTCTGAGAAGGTCCCCGGGAATCTGATGCAAAGTCTAGGAGCTACTGCTGTGGAACATTAGTTGTCCCAAGGCCCAGCCTGAGCAGCTGGCCTGTGAACTTGCCCTTAAAATAATGGTTATGGTATGAAAAGGATATACACATTCCTCGCATTGTTACTTTATCTGGCCGGGCTGTGTCGGCTTCCAGGTCAAAAGCAAAGCCAGCACAGTCCTCATTCTGGTGACCCTCTCGCATTTGAAATGGGTGTGTGTTTACGGGGGGGAGGGATGGCGTAGCAGCCGTGGTCAGTGCCCGGCCCATGTTCCGTGGACGGCACTCCCCTTCCAGCCACGGGGGCCAGCTCCCACGGTCTCTCCTGCTCCGCCCTCCTGAAGGGTTAACCGGGGCTCCAGCTGCTGAACCCGCTGTGCCGGGGAATTACCGTGTGCTCCCTCCCGGGCAGCCTCGCTCTGTGACTGAAGGTAACCGGTGTTTAAATGGCTCAGCTCCCTCATGCGCACGGCGGGCAAACTCTGAGATGTGTGTTTTACACCGACTCCCAGAGTGGTCGCAGCAGGACTGTGTTCCTGCTGTCTACAGTGGTAATCGGTGTGGCAACAAAGCTTTCCCTGGCGGCCCTCCCCTCCCCGGCTCGCTTCCTCACTCCCCTGCCGAGGTCTTCCTCACCTCCCAAATAAACCACATGCAACTGAATCTTTGTCTCAGGGTCCACTTCTGGGGGTGCGAACGGTCTCTTGCTGTGCTAAAGTGCATTTAAAAAAAAACAAAAAACAGTAGAGTCTGGCTACCAAATTTAGCAAATTATTACAAAGGACGCAAAGAAAATGCGTTAAAACCTGAATGAAAAATTCCATCCATGTATGAAATGAATATGGGAAAAGAAGAGAGAACATAATGTGGTATTGTGAGAATTGTCCTGAGTGCTGTATTCAAAGTTTAACTCAGGAATATCAAAGAAATGGGCCACTCTTTCTTTTGTTCCGCCAGAAGAAAAGAATGCTGTGCAACAAATAAGTAACCTATTCCTCCTGCCCCATTAATATAAACTAATACTTACTGAGGGCTTATTATTAGTCACTGCCCTCACAGCTTTGCACAGCTCACATTCTTAAGTCCAGGTTAAACAAATCAACAATCCAAAAATTTTATATTTACTTACAAAATGAAAAAAAATATTAAATATATTCACACAGATTTACTCACAGCAGAGAAGCCAGCCAACTTCTACCCTGTTAATTCTACCTTAAATCAACCATCCTCAAGCCGTAAGATACACTTTTTCCTTAACAACCCTTCTTTTATTTGTTAGCATTTACTACGTTGCCACCTCATGATCATTTATATCTAAAATACCCAGTGCCATTGCAATTGCTGTGAGAACCAGTGACTGCCTGCAGAAAAAAGTAATCTGAAGTCAATTTTCAAAAATGTTAAAGAAGAAATTAAAATTTTTAAAGAGTAAATCAATCTGTGTTATTTTGAAACATATTGCCTTTTCAAGTACGCCTAACGAAGCATTGAGGTTGGAACATCAAAATGTCTGCAACCATCTCTTAAAAATTCTTCTGCATAAAAAATACAGTGAGAATAAAATGTTCACCTTAAAAATTGAGGGGTCATTTCGATCATCTCCCTCATGTTTCCTTTGCATGTGACTAATCAAATCTTTCAGGTTATTTTTAGTTATAAAAAAATAAAAACAGTAAATCTGGAAAGATGAAGACAAGAAGAAATCTAAACAAAGTCTCTAAAACCATGAACAGTGGAACACTCATTTACCAAATGGAAGCAGATCACTTGAAGAAATTTCACCTTAATACAAAGAAGTGTAAGTATTCACTCACACAAAGTAATGACAGGTCAGAATTCACTGACTCAAAAGACAGTGTGAGCTAAAAATCTATGACACAGGAAAAACTATTTAGATATGAAACATGTGTGATAGGCTATACAGAAAACTAAAAACGTCTGAGGTTGTTCCCTAAATCCGGGTGATTACATGAAGAACCATGACCACAACTCAGAGAAGACAGGTCACTGAAATGGTCAAATCCACTACAGTTTTTTTTACATAAATTTTGAGTTAAAGAAGACCCTAGGAAATCATCCCAAGGAGATTCTGCTGAGAGGAAACTCTGGCCCTAGGAATCTAGCCTGGAGCCCAGCTAGTGAGTGAAAAGCCTGTGTGAGATTAGACCTGCCCGCTCTTCGGAGTATTCTGTTTATATTTTAAACACTATCTTGGCTTCTGAAATCTAAACGCTAGGTAGTCTTACCACCTTGTGAGTCAGAGTCAATGAACTCTGTATCTGTAATTATTACTATATGAATTAGTACTTTGTCTTAAAGTAAATTTCCTCACATGGTATGACCTCATTTTGGAGTGCTGGGTTGGGTAAAATGAGTTTGTTACATTAGTCATAGTTTTAAGGGTAAAAAAAAAAGTCATCCTCTTGTGGTTAATAATTAAAGAAGTTACAGCTCACCCCAGCCATAGGATAAAATTGCTTTTCTATAAGGATACTGAGACGTGAAATGCCATTACTCCAATAGCATTGCTATGAATTTAGGATCAGATTTATTAATCCAAATGTCTACCTGGCTCATCCATAAGAATGGAAGTTATAAAATATTTAAATAGAAAACTATGTTGCCTTAGGTTTTAAAATACTCATAAAAGGGGTGCCTGGGTGGCTCAGTCTGTTGAGCATTCAACGCTTGATTTTGGCTTGGGTCATGACCTCAGGGTTATGGGATCCCCCTGAGGTGGGCTCTGCACTCAGTGGGAAGTCTACTGGGGACTCTCTCTCCCTCTGCCCCTCCCCCTGCTCACACACATGAGCGTGCTCTCTTTTCTCTCTCTCAAATGAATAAATAAATCTTAAATAAATAAATAAAATATTCCATAGAAGAAACTCCCCAAACCTAAGCACTAAGGAATATCTTTCCACTAATCTGCTCTCTTTTTTAGTAGTATCCTCAGTTAATGTAAGGGCACAGACCTATTATTTAAAGATCAAACAAAATCTAGTTCTTTACTTAATAATCCACTGAGCTTAACATTCCAACTCACTCTACAAGTGAAATCAAAACTAAATGACTGAGCTTCTATAGTTGACCCTTGAACAACATGGGTTTGAACTAAGCAGGTCCACTTATGCATGGATTTTTTAAAAATGAATATATATATACTACTGTAAGTGTATTTTCTCTTCTTTATGATTTTAATAACATTTTCTTTTCTCTAGCTTACTTCATTGTAAGAATACCATATGTAGTATCTATAACATACAAAATATGTGTTAATCAACTGTTTACGTTATTGGCAAGGCTTTCAGTAACTATTAGGCCATTAGTAGTTAAGTTTTTGGGGACTTAAAAGTTGTACTTAGATTTTCATTGTGTGGTCAGTGCCCCTAACCCCTATGTCATTCAAGGGTCAAATGCAGTACAATTAACATTTTAATAATTAAAAGAAATAACACATATGCAAGTGCTTGGCATGAGCATGAAAAAGAAATAATGTACATTTCTTCACAAAAATCTGACATCTTTCTCATAAAGGATGGCTCTATAAAGACATTGATCAGTTCATTTGGAAATATGAACTGGCATGAAGTAAAATGACTGGAATTTCTAAACTTCTAACACCAAAAAATTTCAACTAAAAGATGAACAAATAAGAAGAAAGCCTGTCTCATGTTTATAAAAGTGTATAAACTCTCTGCCTAATTTTTTTAAGTCCACTACTGATCTCCATCATCATTTTACATTAAATCAAATGCATTTTCAATAATGTCCAAGAAAAGATAACAGAGAACATAAAACATCTGAGATAGAAAACCTCTTTCAACCAGAGTACTTCTAAACAACACTAATATTATCACTTAATACCTGATTTCAGGAGATGAAGAGATTTCATTTGTGTCTGCCCTTTTATTTCTTGGAAATGATGGACTAGCCGGAGGCATCTCACCACTTAAACGGTCTGGGAAAATTCGGTCTTTATTCAAATTGATTTCTGAATAGGGACAGTTGGCAGCACTAAAATATTAAAGAAAAAAGAAAAGAACATTCCCATTAGAACATACCTCTAATTAAAATGACAGGCTATAGAATATAAAATCCCCAAATTTAATTGAATGTTATATATATTTACATATGTGTATATGTATGATTAAACACATAAATATGAAATATTTTATCTCTAAGACATAATTTAAGTATATCTGATAGAAAATGTGTCTTTGCACTAGATAGATGTTTAGATGCAATCTGATGAAATCTTTGGAACTGAGCAATGATCAATGAAGGATCCCCTCTGTATTGTCCAGGGCAGAGCCTATGCATATCTATAGGAACAATCAGCCCCAAGAGAGAAATGCTTAAGACATCATTGGAGGCTTGGTGATGGACAGATGGCACAGATCTGCTTCCTAAAGTGATCCTCCAGACTCAGGGTCTGCACTGGCCATATCATTTCCTTTATAACAGCTGTCCCTCCAAAGGAAGGGGGTTCCCCCATGTTCCTAGCTCCCGGTCCAGCTGTACATCTGATATCCTAGGCAATACATATATCAATCTGTAGTTAATCCTGTTTCTGATATGAAAGGAGCCCAGATGCCAACTTGGATCATAACCCATCCAGCTCATTTCCCTTCTATCGGTGCCCTCTGGACCCCTGGCTGGTCTCTCAGGTTCCATATGGGGATCATTCCTGTTATCCAAGTAAAGGAAATCTAGGTCACTAATTGTTAAATCAATGTTAAGTCAGTATAATCCTCTGCCTAGGCCTCAGCTTTCCAGGCTCCAGAACAACTGGGCAACCTCTGTATCTCAGGCCTCCAATACCTAATGAACCCTCCCAACTACCTGCCCATCTTGCCCCTCTGGTCTTAGGAAGCCTCCTTAAATCTGGAAATTGTTGGCTCTTAGATAAATTATTTTAGTGTCTTGGGCGCCTGGGTGGCTCAGTCGGTTAAGCTGCCTTCAGCTCAGGTCATGATCCTGGGGTCCTGGGATCGAGTCCCGTATCAGGCTCCTTGCTCAGCTGGGAGCCTGCTTCTCCCTTTGCCTGCCGCTCCCCCTGCTTGTGCTCTCTCTCTGTCTTTCTCTCTGACAAATAAATAAATAAAATCTTTAAAAAAATTATATTAGTGTCTTACATGTCTTCTCCTTTCTCTAGGTGATAGTGGGAATGTTGATAATCACCCAGGGAAAATTTTTTAAACAATGCATGTCTATTCTCCACCAAAAAAAAAATCAGATACCTTCTCCTAGGAGGAGGAGGGAAGAGTTTGAAAACTAAGTGATTCTGATAATGGCCTATAAAACTTATCACAGATACGTTATAAGCTAAAATACAATCTTTATTTTATTTAACTACATGCTACTCTACATTATTATCTATGCAAAAGATAAACGTAAATAACATTTGATCATGTGTTGACATAAATGTATATAATACTAACCCAACAATAACAAAAACAATAACCAGTAATATTTATGGAGCGCTCACTATATATCAAGCACTTTGCTAAGCACAGTATTTTACTTAATCTTTACAATATCCTATGAGGAAGGCTTTTCATGAGACAAACTAGGCTTAAAATGCTTAGGCGACTTCAATCTTTAATTATTTCATTCATTTGTTCAACAAGTATTTATCGAGTATCTATTAAGTCCTAATTATCTTTCTAGGCACTGGAAACACAATGGAAAATAAAAAGGCAAGATCTCTGCTCTCATGGGGCTGATATTCTGGGGGAAGATGGGCACTACACAATTGCACAAACAAATTAGAGAGCCTCACATAGTGACACATGCCATGGGGTATGGCCTAAAGGAGAACATGGGGCTGTCCCAGGTGGTGAGGAAGGGCCTCCCTGAAGTGGCAGCATCTGATCAATGCCCTCAAGGTCAGGAAGAAGCCTGCTCTGTCCACACAGGGCAAGAGCATTCTGGGAAATGGGAAGAAGAGCACAAATGTAGGGAAAGCTCGGCATGTGTGGCGGGGGAAGACCATCGACGGCCGAGTGCGTGAGCAAGGGGAGGGTACACACTAGAGGCCGGCAGGGGAAGTATTATGTAGTGTCTGGTAGGCCATGGTCATGGGTCATGAGCTCAGTTGGTTAGTTTACGTCTGATGTGAAGCCACTGGAGGACCTTCAAATAAGGGAATGGTATGGTTTGATGTACAATTTAAAACAATCACCCAGGGTGCTCTGTGGGGGCGAAGATCTCAAAGGGACAGAATTGGAGCAAAAGAAGTTATGTAATTGTAAAGACATCATGGTGACTTGGATTTGGGTGGCTGAACGGTCATGGTACCTCTGCGATCCCTCCAAAGGAACCTGTGCATGGATGGGTGATGGGGAATGACATTAAAGAAGGATTTAAGAATGGTCTGTAGGTTTCTGGCTTGAAGACCTGGGTGGTCATAGGGATACCTTTTCTTTTCTTTCTTTTTTTTTCCCCCTGGAGATGAGAATGATGAGAGAGAAGCAGATCTGGGGACAACATCAGGAATTGTGGACTGTTTATTAAACAATGAAGTAGAGATGTTGCTTGCCCAATGTCACACAGCAACAAAGTAACTCAGTAAGACGAGCGCACTATTTCATTTATCTTACTGCGAATGGGCATACTATTTTAACTCATTTTTATTCATTTAGCAATGATGTGAAGGGAGAATTCATCACCAACCACAATGTCTCTTCTGAACAAGAATCCTTCAAGTACCTCATGGAATCCTTTATGGGATATTTGTACTAATTAGTGTTTATGGATATAAGTAACAAAAACCAATTCTAAGTTGAGCAGAAATAAACTTACTAAAGGGCATCAGACAAGTCAGTAGGAAGGCTGAGTAGTCAGGCTTGGTCAGGAAGAAAGGTCCAACCAGCTCTCCTCCCCAGACACAGTCTACACAGGATGGGGGGCTCCTGGGGCTGTGGCCCTTACTCGCTCCCCAAACCCCTCAGCCATGTCCACACCTGCCCAACCCCCAATTCCACAGAGACTGCTAACACCAAGTGTGACCTGCCTTCACATCACTCCTCCTGATGGAAGACCCAGGTGGTAGCATCTGCTTGGCTACATTTCGGTTTTCTGCCCACACAGTAAGTGCCACAGGCCTGAGGAAGGGGGAGAGGCCCTGCTCCCTGTGGTTCCCCTGAGGGACGTGGAGCCCTGCCTTACACCTATCTTGTTTCAGACAAAATATAAATGACCCAGGGCTGCCTCATAATAAACATGTTTAAAACCAAATTCATCATCTTCAATGAACTCCCCTCTTCTGAAGAAAAAAGGTAAGAAATACAACCTGCTCCTCCTGCTATTTTTGAATCTTTGTTTCTGACAAAGGAAATATATTAACTAAGCCTCAGATTGTCATCTTTAACTCTGTTATCCTTTCTTCCTCATATTGTGTATTTCTATGACAAATTTACCTCCTTGCATTTTGTGACAGCAAGAAAAAAAAAATCTAAATATAATTCTTTGGTTTTTTTGACAAACAGCATGCTGCTAATCCTATAAATACTGCAACCATCATGTTTCACTCACAGTTAAACACCTGGCTTTACAATTACTGAAGATCTATCTATATATCTACCCTAGGGTTTTATCAGATATGAAGCAAAGAAAATGAGAGTCCTGTTCTTAACCCCACCCACTCCCACACTGGGAAGACCCACAGTATTCTTAAGATGGGCTGCATATCCCCAACTACACACAGAGTGAACAGTTACAGTTTAGAAGTCTTAGAATATAAGATCTATGAGAACAGTCCCTTCACCTATTTGTTGACTAAGTAAAGGAAAAATAGATCTCTCTAAGATCACTACATACAAAGTTGTACAGCTCACAGAAAGGCAAGGCTGCAAAACAAAATAAGACCTACTGTCTAACTATCTGCCTTTTTGGATTGTTAGGGCCAGAGAGGAATTTCAAACTCTCAACTTCAAGCAGGGGAAGCGAGCACAGCCCTCCCAGCATGGATTTACTAATGGGCCAGGCTGATCTATCAAGGGAGTCCCGTCATGAGCAGCTATCAATTTTATGCTGACACCCTCTCGTCCTTTGAATCCTGAGAGAAGTAAAATGGGTTTACATACCTCACATTTTTACACCTGCTATGGGGTAGAGAAGGAAGCCAGCTGGTTCCTGAAGTGGATAGTGATTTAAAAAAAAAAAAAAGGTATGCCACAAAATGCAAATGAAGTGTGCTCAAGTCATGGGCAATCCCTTAGACAGAAGTCAGGAACCTGGTTCTAAGGTGCTCTGCCACCCTATCCACCACTTACTGAAGAGTATGCACAACTTGTGAGACCGTGTCTTCTCACTTGTAAAATGAGGATGAGAGCAATACTAGAGTTTCCACGGCTCAACTGCATTATACATGCTAAGTGCTTTCCTTGCATTATCTTGTTTAACTCCCACAACCCTGGGAAGTTGTTCCTTGTCTAACACTTGTTTTACAGACATAGAAATTGAGGCTTTAAAAAGGGAACTTGCTCAGTGTCACTTTATCAGTTCTTGGCAGAGTCTGATGATGAACTCTGGCTGTCCTCTGTTACACTGTATGGGGGCAAACAGTACCTTGCAATATCAAAGAATGCCCTTAGCCGTAATCTCTGACAATGAAATCCCTCTGAGTACCGTCTTCGAGCAAGATACTGCCGTCATAGAGCTAATATGCATTGAGCCATTACTTAACCTCTTTGCCAGTTTCCTTGTTCTTAAATTTACAAGGTTCATACAGTTTTAAAAGTTACTAACTTTATAACTCACCAGTGCTGATCAAACTTCTGTAGAGAAAGTGGGTTCTCATTAGGCTTATAATCTCTAGTTTCTCATGTACTAAGCTGTGTGTATCATGTATAAATGGGTATACACATGTATCCACATACACGTAACTCTTTACCACGACATAGTTCCTCAGAGAGCACAGGAAGGAATTCATGTAGGGTTACACAGCTATCTACATAAGGATTTTATTAGGGTACACCCTGTTCTACTGGCAAATAATTCCGTATCAGCTTTGCACACAAATATCCCACCGACCCCTCTAAGGAGGCAGTTTCTCCTAGAAAAGATTGGTCCAGCTTATGAGGAAAGGGGGACAGACTGTCTTGTTCATTTCTCCCCACTGCCACCTTTAAAATCCTTGTAACTGTGAATACAATTTAAACAATTAGGTAATATCTTCAGTTTTCTGAGTGATCGCATAATCGTTCTCACACTCTGTCATGACAAAAACCTGAGGCAGCTCTATCAGGCCACTTGCTTTACATGAGAGTCTAGGAGTTACAAATGGAGACTGAAGTGCCATCCAAGCCTGGGATGAATTCTGGTTCTGCCACTGTCTGATCCTTGGGCACATACTTAACTATTCCAACCCCGTGTCCTCACCTGTAAAACAGAGATTAGAACAGCACCTGCTGTGAGGATTAGGTGGGATCACAGATTAAGTCCTACAACAGTGCCTGGAACATAGGAAGTCATCAATAAATCCCACCTGTTGTCATTATTCAAAAAGGAGAAGCAGACTAACACATAACCGCTATTCTGTAAAAGAGCATCCGCAAAGATAAACAACAGCATTAAAAACTCCGTAACATGCCTCATTGGTGGAGACTCTCTGCTTCCCTCAGGGAAAGGGTGCTACCCCATTCATGCCTCTACGAAAAACTGTTTGCACCAGACTGGCCTCCTTAGAGGGAGGGACCCTCTCGTCTGTGCGGCCCATCACCTAACCCTGGACCTGGCCCAAAGCAGGCACTCAGTAAATATATGTTGGAATGCAGGGATGGATGGGTGTTGAATCAATAGGATGTTTATAGTTTGCAGGTGTCTGTTCAAATTTTTAAAACTTTCCATGGACTTTACAATGACCTTTTAGAGGTTGTTGGAAATACTCCCCATTTTTTTCTTATTTATTTTCTCCATAATCAAATCTTACATAGAAAAGATTCACTTCTGAAGGCACTAGAGATGCAGAATATCTACTTTCATATAACTTTAGTTCTCCTTTAATCTCCTCCCCTTCTTTGACCTTGCAGTAGCCGAAACAAATGAATCGACAAAGGGAAACACCACGACACCACCCAGATTAATGCTCCCTTGCTAGAAAGAGAGCATTGAGCCATCTGGCTACTGAATATCCCTAGAGATAAGAATAACATCCACACTCAACTCACTCACTGATTATTTACATTTCAACATCTGAAAACATCACATTCTCAAATTTCATCGCTGAGACACATGTTCTATTTCTAACATCTCTTACATCAAATTCAACTATTATAATTTTTCAGAGACGCTAACAACAACTGCTAGTCAAAACACAGCCTTTTGCTTATGTGTTCATAAAACTGATTATTCTTGCTAAAAGAGCAACTTTCCTTGTTATCTAGGCAAAGAATGCATGTTTTGATTTATGCAGTTTCTCCGCAAATTAATCCAAAGAGAATTTTCTCATTATGTTTTCCTAAACACAGCATTCTCGGCAAGGACAAAAGTAAACGCCACTGAAATGACCCTTTTAGAGAATATCCATGATGCTGCAGCTATTCCACAGTCTACTAATGAAATGGAAAACAGGCTGTGCCTGTTAAGGATTAATACCCTGCCAGACCCAGAGCTCTGAGTGTTGTAAATAGGACAGTCAGGGAGACTCTGGAAAGCCAGCTGAAAGGGCTCAGAAGAAGGGACGAGTGCAGCAGCTGACGGTAGCTGCCAACTGTCTGAGCCACACGCACCCTCCTCCTCCCCGAGGCTCGGCCAACCACTAACTCTGCCCCAGACTCACGCACGGAACTGCCAGTTATGCCTTCCATCCGAAGGAGCAACAAACTTCCTTATCAATACATGTCTTCCAGCCAGAAGGTCTACTGCTTCCTCTCTCCTTCCAAAAAGATGAGTAATTCTCTACTGGTTCCAATTATACTGAAAGATTTCTTTACCACATTTCTCCGTAAAATCTTCCACGACTCTCTCCACAATTTCCCCCTTCTTTTAGCAAATACAACACTGCATCTCTGAAGAAATGCTCCAAAGATGATCACTGAAATTTTGTGAAATGGGTGTGGCTCAGCTGAGGAACCCTCAGAGGTCCCTGGCACAGTGGGGAAAAGGTAGTCATAATGAGCGGCAAGCGCCATCAGGCAGGGGACAGGACTGTCACCAAAGACCTCGCCACGACAGGCAAACCTCTATGCTCAGACCAGAAGCACTCCTAAAGAGACGATGGACATTGCTTTAAGGTGTGTTTCCTTTCCAGAAGGCCAAAACAAAAATTTCAACTGCACCCCAACAACGTATCATTATTTATGTTTTTTTTTTTTTTTTAAAAAAAAGCTTTATTCTTTTCCTTCATAATTGGAACGAACTGCCTCAGTCCAATGAACATCTTGGGGTTGATACACGTGTCAAAGGTTCAATATTACTGTTTTGTATCTTGTATTTTAATTATGTACAGCTTTATATTTCCATTAGTCCCTGAGTTCTCTGAAGGTTGGGTCTATGACTAATTCTTGGAGTGGGGCCTTGAGAGGCAGTGAGAGGGGAGAGGTCAAGAGCACAGACCCTTGAGCGAGACTGGGGGCCAATCCCTGTCCCCCCTCACCAGCAGTCAATCAGTAAAACCTCTCCAGTGCCACAGTGGCCTCACTGAAAATTGGGAGAAAATAATACTAAAACTAATAAGGTAGTTCAGAAGGTTATCCATAAACGTAAAACAGAGCAATACCTTGTGCAGAGTAAATACATACTCAATAAACGTTAGTTATTATTGAAAAAAACTCCTCAAAAATATTCAGTGAATGAAATAATTTATTAATACACAATGGAAATTTAGCATGCTAATGAATTATTTCTGGCACTTAGACTTACATAATGCCTGAAAAATAATCTAGCTGCCTTCACTCAGCAACACTGAACAACTTTTAAGGTGTAGTATTTTAATTCAGTTTAAATTAATCACGTAACTTTGGGTTGGCACTTACACAAACAATGAAAAGGACTTTTCTTTTTTTTCTTTTTTCTTTTATTATTACTATTTTTTAAGCAGGCTCCATGCCCAATGTGGGGCTTGAACTCACAACCCTGAGATCGAGAGTCGCATGCTCTCCCGACTGAGAGGGCCAGGCACTCCTGAAAAGGATTTTTAAATGGGTATTTGCAAATGGAATCACCACCCTATGTTTAGACTATTTACTCTGGAACAGACTGAATCCCATAAAAATCTCAGGAGCGTTGCAAAAGGAAGATAAGCAGTATTTGTGGTTGCAGAGATGAAAGAAATAAAGAGAGAGGGAGAGGAAGGAAGGAAGGAAGGAAGGAAGGAAGGAAGGAGGAAGCATTAATTACACCAATTTTACAGTTCCTATTAACTCTTAGAGGAAAAGGTAGTGCAATCTTCAGATTTTTCAAAAGACCCAGATTCACAATGTGTACAGACTAGAAAACAAGGGATCATTTTCCTTACTGGGTAGCCCAATTAACATGTAGTTAGAACACTTACATTGACAAATGATTATTTTAATTCATCCCTAAACAGGTGATGCTTTTGTTCCTCGAAAATCTCAGTCAAATCATAGGAATTTCTAGGTATTTTGGTAATATTTTTAAATGTCTCCAAAGAGCCCCAAATTGCCTAAACAATACATCAAATTTCAAATGTATAATTTTGGTTTCTTTTTTAAGTTACTTAGGGGTAAATGAAAAATACTGAAAAACCCTGTTTTGGATCAATGCACTCTCAAGTGTGACTATTTATATTTGTGCTTCTTGTGATCTTTGCTGGTATAATCTATGATAATCTCACTTCTCGTTATTCAAAATTGTTGAGTCCCCCAATCATATCGTATTCTACCAAACAAAGACCTCCAACAGGGTCTGCCTTCTTCTCATTATTAACGACCAACCCAAAGTGACTCTTTCAGAAGGTAAGTATCTGTACACCTGGTCAGGCTGTCAAGAAAAGGCAAATAGCTAGAGTAAATCCATTTTAGACTGTGAATGCATTTTTCTCCCAGGAAGACTTAACTACAGATATACTCTTCGTTTTTATAGGATCACCATGGAAACTACATTTCGTATAGATCAAAATATAAAATTAGCTCACATCTATTAGTACACATGGAAATCATTATCTTACACATACATGGGATGGGCACCCTGTCTTTGACCACATAAGGAATTCCTGTGTGAGTGGCAGCACCACATACCTGTGAGGGCCCAGGTGTCTCACTCTCTTAAAATGGCCAATCCCTTTACATCCTGGGGTTGAGCATCCGCCATGTTCTGAAGCTTCCATTAATTCTAAGGGGCCTATAAGAAAGCAAGGGGAAAAAAATGAGAGAAAGAAAGAAGGGGCATAAAGTTAACTAGAAGGCTGTAAAATAAAAATTTAAAATCTTAAAAGTCTTTATTTTTAAAGGTTTTTCCCTATGCTTTTGTTCACACTATTTATCTTTCTTCAATAGTGAAACGGTAGACTTTGATCTAACCCTCTTTCAATGTCAAATTCCAGAAACATCTAAATGTGAATTAATGAGGAGATTCTTCCAATTTTCATGAAGTAAATAACATAATTAGTATGTGAATACTGGTATACTGTGAAAATTTCAGACACCACACCAGAATACAGAGAAACAGTTACAGATCCCATTCATACTACCCCCTCCACATTTCATACACTCCCTCATCCTGACCACTTACATTAATGTGTAATGTGCTAGATGTTGTTCTAAGCATTCCCATGTGTGTATATATACATGTATCAAGTTTTTGGTTTCATTTCATTTTGTCCTATACAAGGGATAGCACAGATGTGCACTATTCTGAAACATTTTTTTCCTTTGGTCTTTAACTTCAGTTCCATCTCAGTGGTAATATTCTTTAATGGCTGTGGCACAGCGTCTGTATTATGAATGCACCAGAATTTAACCAATCTCTGTTTCTAAGGTTTGTTATTTTAAATATACTGTAAGAAACGGCATGCATGTGAATTTTTGTACCTTTATACAGCCTGTATGTAGCATCCAGAAATGAAGCCACTAGATGGGGGACTGCACGCTAAACTTTTTAAAACCCCTCAGTAATCTATTGTATTTCTTATATTTTTTTTGCTACAATATATATGTTTTCTTTCAAAGTTGAAATCACAGTATGTCAAGTTCTCAGTGCTTACTTTTTTAAAAATTGAATTTAAAGGAAATTTTTACTGAGGTTATTGTAAATCATATGCAGTTTTAAGTAATAATTCATAGGGAGAGCCCTTGCACACTTTGCCCAGTTTCTTGAAATGGTAACATTTTGCAAAACTATAGTATAAAATCACTCCTGATACATTAAATTTTGACAGACTAAGTCTGACAAACTATCTTCCAAATATTCAGTATCAATTTTAAAAGATGAGGAGTACTTCTAAATAAAAGTAAAAAAATCTATATAAACTTTGCTTTTTCAAACATTACATTTTTTCTTTTATATTTTTGTGACTACCATGTGACTGAAAATGTAGGAAGAGGAAAAGGATTACATAGAGAAGAAATACACAGTGAGAAAGAAGTAGAAAGAAAAGGATAGGAGAAAAGAACACTTTAAGGACCCTACACAAGAACATGGAAACATTTATTTAAGTTATCCTTGTGTCTCTTACTCAAAGGAGGCTGAAGAGGATGCCCGGTTTTTGAACACCAGCCCACAGGGTGAATATCAGGACAATCTGCATCTACCCAGTAATCATAGCAACTATTCCAGCCATCAAAGTGAACCTGGGTAACAAAGAGAAATTAACAGTACAATTCAGGTCACAAAAAATCCTACAATAGAAGTTCTACCCACCATAGCCATTTTCATTCTCTTCTAAATTATACAGTAGGTTTAATACCAAATATATTTTTTCAATTATTTAAATTATTTCATTTACACTATGAGGAAAACAGGCACTTTTGACCTATCTTTAAATTATCTGTCCATCAAGAAATGTCTTGCCAAAGGCATTTTTCCAGCAGTACTTCTACAGAGATACTATTATGTATATCTTCCAACACTAGAACAACTTGAATACATAACATCTTCATATAAGCAACACCAAACACCCAGTAAGTATTACTTAAGCAATGAATAAATCAGGGCAGGGAGGGAGGATGGGAGGGGGGGAATGGAGAGCCAGAAGGGTCTTCCATATAAAAGTCAACTCTCCCAGAGTTATGCTAATAAGGCTTTTTAAACAAATTCAACATCCTATTAGAAATACACCCAGTTTACAAAATATCTCTCCATCCAACGCATTTCTAAATATCATTTTTTTCTCATAAATAATTACAATATCTCTCAAAGAGGTTTTAAAGAGTGGTCAGTGCCATTGTTATTGGCCACCACGTGAAAGAGCAATTGGTCCCCCAGGCAGGGTCACTAAGGATCAGCTAGGTAGCGTTTAAGTATTACATATATTTTATCTTTTAGGGTGAAAGGATTTACCAAAAGGCTATATATATTTTACTTTTACATCAAGTCTGCCAGCTAGATTTCCTTAAGTCTGTGAATCCCTTACTCCTAACAAGACAACAGATGCCAGATGGATAAAAAATGCAAACATTAAAAGCTGAACAATAAAAGTTCTAGAACAATGTACGAGTGAATGTATTTATAATCTTAGAGTAGGATAACCTTTGTAAGTAAGACACCAAACTCAAAAGCCGTAAAAAAAAAAAGATTGTTCAGTTTGACTACATGAACATTTAAAACTTGAGAGTGGCAAATATTCTGTAATGAGTGGCAAATACCACAAAAAAGATGGAAGACCCATGAGAAACCTGAAAAACACATTTATGACATATGTAACAATGTACTCTGTTCCTTAATTTATACAGATATCAGACATCAACATAATAAGATTAAAAGCCCAATAGAAAGATGAAAAATATAAATTGCTCATAAATAAGAAACTAACTATAAATAGTTGGTAAACATAAAAAGATTATCAATTTCACTTATAACCAAAAAACTACAAATTAAAACCACAAGATGCAATTCTTTCAACGTGTCAAAAATGTTCCATTTTGGTGATTCTTAGAGCTGGTGAGTATGAGAATAAAAAGCTTTCTCATGGACTACTGACAGGAGTATTAATTAGCAAATACTTCTGGAGTGTTATCTGCAGTAACAATCACTTAAAATATATCATCTTTGACTATTTGATAATCTCAATAACTCAACTCATTGTTTATAGTAGAAAACAACCTTGGTATCCACCGTTAGGAGACTGGCTAACTAAATTATGGTACATCTACCTGTATGACAGAATAGTACAGAGTTGTTAAAGTACATGTATACGGGTTCAAAACAATGAATCCACTTTCTCAAGCTGAGAAATCAATTAATCCTAGAATCAAAGCCCACAGAATTCCACACCTGGAAGAAATCATAGGTATTATCTTAAAGAAGAGAAGAGATCACACAGCTAGTCAGGAGGAGTAACCAAGCCTAAAATTCAAGGATCCAAATAAAATTATTCATTTCATTCACATACACTGAATATAAAAGTAACAGAGAAAATTACTTAAAGTAACCCTTTCCTTTCCTCTGATCAAAAACAATGCTCAACTAACAGTGAGATGACATTCATGATACTTTTCTAAAAATATCAATTTATGCTATCAATGCTACCAAAAAATGAGCAGACATAACTTAGTGTTACAGAAAGTTTAAAGTGTCTTAATTCTCAACTAATCAAGTGGTTACTCTATTTTACTAGAAACATGAAAATTTCCTGGATTCTGATCTTGCTATTCCTAAATCCCATTTCTTTTACACTGGAATCAATGTTCACACATGATTCATGTCTGATTTGTTGTAGATAAACCACTACCTTTTAAAAAATTCAGGTATCTTTCTAGAGCAAACATACTCAATCCTAACAAATAAATGGTTCTCCACCCTGGATACACACCAGAATTTTCTCTATGATGAAAAGGAGAAAGAAATAAAAGGGGGGGAAAAAAGGCTGAGCCTTCCTAGGGATTGTTAATCCATAGGTTTGGTTTTGTGCATACATATGTTGTTTACTCAACTTCTAAGTAACTGTGGTGTGCTCTCAGAATTGAGACCCATGGACATTAACTGGTACATTATTGTACATCAATATAGTCTCTGAAAATCTTGCGATCATCATAAATAAAAGGGTTCTTTTTAAAGTTTCCTTACATATGCCTTTAAGAATGTTTATGGTAGATCTAGCATATCTGGTGACCACAATGTTTCATAGTTTTCCGTGAAACTGAAATCTTGGTTTGGCAATGAGAAGTTATCTATCTAAGATTTATGTACTTTAGATACCATAGATAAATCTAATACCTCCTATAAACTAGGTTGGTGGACAATCTGGAGAATCTCGGTAGTTTAAGGGTTCAATTTCGGAGATAAAATTTAGTTTAAATATTATGAACAGAGGTAACAATAAAATTCTCTCTGGTAAGTACCAAATACACTTAAAAATGCTATCTGAAATTATATAAAAATCAATATATGCAAAAATTAATACTAACCCTACCAGATGAAATAGTTTTATTAAAGTTTGTATAGTTTTACTTCATCTTTTGTACTTCTACTACTTCAGTCGCTGACATATTAAGAGGTTTTAAACAAACAAAAAACCAGACACTTTAATAATGTTAAGTTTTACTCTTGCTGGGGACTATTCTGAAAAGAAATCAAATGTCTAACAAAGAACAAGAAAGGAAGATACATAAACATACAAAATGAAATATTTAAAAATTTTACAAACCCAAGAGACATACCAAATATTTATAATACAAATGTTCCACTATAAATACAAGTATATATGAAAGCAACTCAGCAATAATGCTGAATTTAATAAAAAATCTGAAGAAAATGAGATGAGGGGTGCCTGGGAAGCTCAGTCAGTTAAGTGTCCGACTCTAGATTTTGGCTCAGGTCATGATCTCAAGGTTGTGAGATCGAGCCCCAAGTTGGGCTCTACGCTGGGCATGGAGCCTGCTTAAGATTCTCTCTCTCCCTTTCCCTCTTCCCCCCATCCCTGCTCTCTTTCTCTCTCTCTCAAAAAAAAAAAGGAAGGAAGGAAGGAAGGAAGAAAGAAAGAAAGGAAGGAAGAAAATAAGACGATTATGGATCAAAGTATAGTGAGGAAGACTTAACTCACACATATTTAAAATTACAGTTTAGGAAACTGGATACATTTTTATCTTGAAGCATTTTTTTGGAAACTTCATAAAACCTTAATACCTGTTATTGACAATTTATCAAGAATAAGACAGATAATATTTTAGAAAGCACACTATTTCTTAAAAAGAGAAAGGTTTGGTCAGATTTTCTTTTCTCGTGAAAGGCAACTCAGTAAAGCACATTATAGACCCAAGTGCTTATCTTCACCCTCTTCTGAAATTAAAGTTATATCTGCAAAGGTATAAAGCCAGGAGGACAAATGGAGAAGAGAAGTGGCTGACAGGTGAGAAGTGATAGCGATGTGTGCGGAAGGCAAATGCAGGAGGAGTGCTGACCTACAGGATAGAGTGGGTGGGCTGCAGCCCAGGTGCCTGAGAAGAACAGGACCAGAGCAAATGGATGTACTGGGCAAAACCCAAGAAGGACTCAATCTGGTGGCAGCAGGTAAGAGAACTCCCTTAGTCTGCTCCCCACTCCACCACTCCACCCACCAAAGTAACTGCCCCTTCAACAACCCTGCCAGAGAGTAGGGGTTTACCTTGTAGAGAAATAAAATCACTAAGGCTCTGAATTCTGGAACAAACCTGCCATGGCAATGGGTGGGACAGAAAGCACAGGAACTAAGCAAGAGCCACATAATCCAACCCAGTCCCCTCTGTCTCATACAGCGGCTGCCAGGGAAGAGACTGGCGGAAACGGAAAGCCTCCAGAGAAGGACTCAGATGCCAAAAATGGGTATCTCCCTATGAAAAAGCTGGCTCTTCGCTTTCTTATCAAATGGTGAAGTCCACTCGTCTCTAAGTCCCACCCATGAAAACAGCTAACTTTTTGAGTGCCTTTTTCTTGAAGGAGACAGCCAGTCAAGGACCTGACGTTTGCGGTGAGGCTCCAATAAAGCAGAGCAGAGACTAATAAAGAAATTAAGAAGACATAAGCAGGGAACAGAAGAAAAACGATCACCAGTATCCTCAGATAAGAAACAACATTGCTTCAAGTAATAAAAAGATGATGCCATTTAAAAGGGGGGGAGCCTTTTACGAAGATGGCACAGAAGGCTAAGAAGGAAGCCCCTGCCCCTCCCAAAGCCGAAGCCAAAGCAAAGGCTTTGAAGGCCAAGAAGGCGGTGTTGAAAGGCATCCACAGTCACAGAAAAAAGGAGATCCACACGTCACCTACATTCCGACGACCGAAGACACTGCATCTGCGGAGGCAGCCCAAATATCCTCGAAAGAGCGCCCCCAGGAGAAACAAGCTTGATCACTATGCCATCATCAAGTTCCCCTGACTACTGAGTCAGCCATGAAGAAAATAGAAGACAACAACACACTTGTGTTCCTTGTGGATGTCAAGGCCAATAAGCACCAGAACAAACAGGCTGTGAAGAAGCTCTATGACACTGACATGGCCAAGGTCAACACCTGATCAGGCCTGATGGAGAGAAGAAGGCATATGTTCGACTTGCTCCTGACTATGATGCTTTGGATGTTGCCAACAAAATTGGAATCACCTAAACTGAGTCCAGCTGGCTAAATCTAAATTTTTTCACCAAAAATAAATAAATAAATAAAATAAAAAAATAAAAGGGGGGGAGACTAGAAAATAAGAAAAAAACTGCTGAAAATTAAAAAAAAAATCAGAGTTGTAGTTAAAAATGCAACATAAGTTTTGGAAAATAGAGTAGTTATCTCTAAGCAAGTAGAATAAAAAATCAGAGAAGCAAAACAAGAAAGAAAGTATAAGAAAATCAAGGGGTCAATTCAAGAGGTTTAACACCAGAGTAGCAGGAAGAGAAGAGAAGAGATAGGATGACAAAAGGAAGTCAACAAACAAGTAATACAAGAAACATTTCCAAAAACTGAAGGACATGAAGCTCCACAGTAAAAAGCCTGAGTACTCAGCATGATAAATGGAAAAAAACTCACATCAAGACACGAATTCACAAAACACGTGAGCATCAGGGATAGAGAGATGGTCCGGATGTGAGAAGATGGTGGAACAATGCTTTTAATTTCTGAGGGGAAAGGGTTCTCTACCCAGCATTCCACACCTAGTCACAGTATGAATCAAATGTAAGACCAGTAATACTGACATTCAAGGAGTCAAAAAAAGATGCTTTTCATCAACCCTTTCTTAGAAAGTTATATAAAAAGATGTGTTTCAGCAAGATAAGAGAATACTTAAAAAAAAAAGTATGTGATTTTAAAAAATGAAATACAACATAGTCTGTTAGCAAAGAGCAATTTCAGGATGAAAGCTCTGGATAAGGCTTGGAGCAGAACCACCCAGATCACCGTAGGTGACTGCTAAGTTGTAGGAAAAAGGGTTCAAGGAAAAAAAGATACAGATAGCAGGTTTAAAAAAATACACTTGGGCTTTTGACAGAAAGACGTGGCAGATTTATTGGAGCACTTGTAGACTTATGATACTATGAGCACAGAAAATAAAAAAAATCAGAACACAAGAAATTACTGACTCCAGGAAAAACAAAATGTCATAAGAAGAAAACTACTCTTGCTCAGCAGTGAACAAGATTTACTTACTCATAATAACATGAACACAGAAGACGGGGAAAATTTTTTTTGAAATGTGAAAGAGCTACTGAAAGGGTAAAGGGTAGGGATGGATATGGTAAGAGCTTAATCCTAAATGACCCTAACAGGAAGGAAATAAACCAGACCTAAAATTGATGGAGTGACAAACAGCTGAATACAGATATTACTCCTGAAAATGAGGGATAAAATGTCAGAAGCAGCAGCTAAGGAAAGTTGCAAGTTCGTGCGTATGGGGAACGAAATATGAGTGTGGGAACGGATGGGGAAGGACTGTATTACGTTCTCACTGTCCCCAAAACATAGATGAGAGCAAAAACATTCTGCTTGTTTTCCTTCAGCATGTGATGAAATATATGAACGTTTTAAAATTTTTAACAGTAATAACTCAAGGTCTGATATAGATCATGGCCCTTAAAAGGCTGATCTTGTATCCTGAAGAGTTGATTTTTTTCCCTGAAAAAGTTAAAATATTAAAATATTAAGCTACGCTAATGACTTAGTCTCTATATGCTTTTTCTCCTCCTTCCTGAAAAAGAAAGATAAGCATTCTTCCGACATCATCTCCCATATTATTAGAAAAACTCCTACTAATGAAAGCTTTTTGTAATTCTCAGAAGGCTCTGATGAATTCTGAAACTGAGTCATTGTTACCTGTTCGTTGAGCTTCTGAGGACTTCATAAACACACAGGTAACTTGTTTAGTGGTTCACCTTTAGCTATGAAATTTACATCACCAATTGTGAAAAGATAACTGTCAACTACACACCTCATAGCCAGATCTTTTTTGGGTGTCAAACAACCAGATGTTGTATTGGAAAGTGAATTCACCCAGAAGCAAAAAGAGATCCTTGGACTGTAGTCCAAACTTTTCCTATTAGTTAAGTGAACTACCCACTTTAGAGTATTTGACTTCTCTGGGCCAAAATTTTCTCACATGTAAAATCAGAGTTAATCTAAAATTTTTTTCTTTTTAAGATTTTATTTATTTATTTGAGAGCAAGAATGAGAGAGAGAGAGAGAGAGAGAGCACATGAGAGGGGGAAGGTCAGAGGGAGAAGCAGACTCCCTGCTGAGCAGGGAGCCTGACGTGGGACGTGGGACTCGATCCCGGGACTCCAGGATCATGACCTGAGCTGAAGGCAGTTGCTTAACCAACTGAACCACCCAGGCACCCTAAAATTTTTTTATTATGAAAGTAATTACTATGTATTCCTGAAACCAGATCATTAAAAAGAAAACCTAACCATTAAAAAGAAAACCTAACCTTTGTATTCCTGAAACCAGATCATTAAAAAGAAAACCTAACAACAGGAAGTTGTTAGAGATGAAAAAAATTTAGTTTTTTATAATTATAAAAAATCATTTATAATCACTCATAATCTTAGCCCCCCAAGAGAAGCACTGTCATTATTTTGGTCAGTTTCTTTCCATAATATGCTTTTAAAAAACAATACCAGACATCATACAGAATAGTAAATCTGAGTTTTTTTCACTTGCCAATATTGAATATTTAACATCCTATAGATAGATAGTAATTTATTTTACCTATATCCTACTGTGGTTGTTCCCAATCTTAAATACTATAAACGGCACTGCTCTATTTTCCTTGTAGTCTTTATCTTTGCATATTCTCTTTGGTTAATTCCGTTAACATAAATTCCTAGGACTGAAATTCTCGAATTAAAGGGTTAGCAGCATTCAAGACTTTGATGCTTTTGCCAAACTGCTTTTTAGAAAGGCCGAGACCCTTTATATTCCTACCAGCTATGTAAGAGAATAAACTTTTCATGCACCCAAACCAAAACACATTTTTTTTTCAATTCTGACCAATTTGATTTTTAAAAATAATATTTTGTTTAGTTCTATACTTCTCTGATCACTAGCCTAGATTACTTAAAAAATATTTCTGGTCCTAAAATACTGATTGCCTTATGATTTACATTATCACACCAAAGACAATAAGAAAAGGCACTTGAAAGAGGTTAACAGGCTCTCTATTATTTATAAATTTCTAGAATATTGCATGATTATATAATCTTAAAAACAGTAAACTAAACAGTAATATTTCTATTTTATACAAATAACCACATTATACATGTTTTTCAGGTTATTTTGTAATTTTTTATGTATGATCTCATTAGAGATAGCTGAATATGTGATTTATTTATTTTTTTAAAAAGAGCATAAATTTAGACTCCTAGAGCTTATTAGGATTGCGGCTTAGTTCTGCCACTGCCCAGAATTAGTGAGTTAATTCATTAACTCTTTAGGCACCTCAGCTTCAGATAAAATAGTGGTAGTAACAGAAATCTCTTGCACTGTTACCACCACGAACGTCAAATAATGGAAGAACACTGTTACCCTGTAAAAACACCATGAAAATCTAACTTCTTGTTGTTTCCATAACTGTTACTATTCTGAAGAGAAATTCCAAACAGTCCTGTGAAGTAGTATCTTGCTCTGGTTTGAGACTGAAGTTAACACCGAAGCCAGAAACAGAAGAACGTCTAGCTCCTCGCCTGAAACTGAGGCTACACTTCACGTTATCAGCCTAGGACAGAACAAACTGAATCCCCCCTTCCTAACCGTTCGCTGACTCTGCGAAAGGTATAATCTGATCTTCTTTATAAGATTATTTCTCTTTACTCATCCTATATTAAAAGGAGTACGTCTATACTTTTCTTCTGAAAAGTCTACATCTGACACACCCCATCAAAAAACATCAACCTTCAAGTTTTCAAAAAAAGAGCATACTCTTGGAGAAGGAGGTGTCATATTCAGAAGAAATCGCTCTATTATTTATGACGGACTTTTAATATTTTGAGTGTGTGCTAGGAGAAAAAAGTAGATACAACATATTAAATGTCCTTCATAAATAAAGAGAACTTGCATCAATTAAAGGAAAACCTGGATAAATATTGACAAAGATGCACAGCCGCTTTATCTGCATATTCCTATAGTCTTACTCATTATAGGGCTTCACAAATTAAAGATCTGCTAAGTTTCCATCCAAGATCTCTCGTAAAAAAGATACAACAAAACCCCAACAGAGAACACTCACTTTTATTCGGTGATCATCCGTGTCTGCAACCGTTGCTACTCTAATAAACACAGGATTTCTTTTGTCTATGACTTCAAGCTTCATTTTTTTCTGGAATCCATGTGGAGGTTTCTGCCATACAGAAAATTTTACATGGTAAGATTCACAGGAAGAGAAGGTGGGCTCTGTGTCACAGCGACAGAATAAGAGGAGCTATTTACACAGTCAACCTTCAAACTCACAAGTTCCTCCAACAGCTTTGGACCTTACCCTCCCTATCAAAAAACACAATCCCAAATCACATGGCCAAACCCCGAGGCAAGAGAAACAGCCAGAGCACCCAGCCACAGGAGCAGACAGAAAGCAAAAGATCTTAAGATAAAATTCAAAATGTTGCAGTTATTTGATTAGCCATAGGGGAGGCAAGACCTTTTTCTCATTAGTTAGAAGGAGGTGTCTTGGCAAAAACCAACAAGCATTAAAATAATTTATACAAAGAGAGGAAAGAACTTGAAAGTGGTAGAGAAGTGACACAGAGATTAGAAATGATCATGAGACCAAAAAGCAGATGTCTTTAAAAAAAAAGAAAACTAGCCATCAAAACATGCAAGACCCCTTGTAAGAATCCCTCTTGTAAGAACAGGAATGAGTACGGAGGATCTTTGCTCCTATACTTTCTACCTATGCCTCAGTGCTCAGCAGAAACCTAGAAACCCCCAAAAAAGTGACAAGCTGTAGAAGACAAGGTGATTGTTATGTTAGGCAAATTGCTTAACTTCTCTGAACTTCACACCCCTGTTCTTTAAATTGGGTAGAACAGAACTGTGGCTCTGAAAATTAAGTGTGAAAATTATGTAAAGGATAAAAAACAATCAATGCAAGGCATCTGGAGACCAAACTAGAGAAATCATAGTTTTCTTTTCTGGTATCAACGTGACAGGAGACATGCAGACTGATCGTGATGTGATTTTATCCAGTTCAAAGCAAAGTACAATGCAGTTCTTCTTTGTAATAGCTTGAGTTAAAGTTAGAGAGTCAGGTAAAAATTCTTAAGTAGGGCATGACTCTATTCATTTTTAGATCCTAAATTTACTATCAGATATGTCCTTTAAATGGCTTTTCTTCATGTAATATACTTTTTTCTCTCAAAAATTTTTGATGTTCTTTTCTGTATGTGGGCCCATACGTCTAATTAATTCTATCATTAAAAACTCTAGCAATTTGTATATGAGAAAATCATTTAAAGAAAAGTGATGTCTATGATAGACTAATTAGGCTACTACATTAAAAATATTTTTAAAATATTTAACATATTTTTCTTTAAATTTACAGAAAAATAGAAATTATAAAGGAAGTTGTTAGAGATGAAAAAATTTAAAATACATTTCATTACTTTAGAGATAAAATTTAAAATACATTTCATTGCTTATTCTTCCCTTGCAAAGAAATGAGGTTTACTTTGAATCTTACCAAGTTTTATGTAAGATGCAATGACTTCGGTTAGAAAGATACTATAAAAAAAGCAGGTGACCTTGTATTTTGATAATTAAACATGCTGATTTATAGCAATAAAATGAAAAACAGCATCTCAGCTTGCCATAAACAAATCTAAAGGAACCATTAAATACAATTTTCATTAGAAAATATCCTGTCTTGTTTTGGTTTTTCAGAATATCTAGCTGGAAAAACAGAGAAGTCTGCCGTAAGAAAACAACTCATTCCGCACCAATTCAAGCAGAATTATTTTCCAAGGAGACAAGTCCAAAATGAAGTATCTTCTGGATGCAAACAATACAAAGTCAAAAACATCTTCTGTGGTCTTCTGTTTCCCTCCCCCCGTCCTATTCTGGTTCACTTGTAGTTCTCTTTCTGTTCTTGAATTTCAATGAATGAACACTACTGTCAACACAAATTAATCAAATAGTGTAAAACAGATTAACTCACCACTTTGAAAGCTCTTGCAGGAGCAGGTAAAGAATTGGTTTCTTCTAAGTATTTGTCCCAAGAAAAATGTTTCACATTTGGATAACCTAAGAAAGAAAAAAGTAAATCCTGTCAGGTTTAACCAAAATGACAGTGAGAACCACAAACTGACCTGTAAAATTATATTATTATATAACCTAGGAAATTATGTTCATATTCCACATAATAGCTTTAAACTAAATAACACACTCAGAACTGTAATAATTACATTACTTTCATCTTGATCAAGACTCCTCTATTACCTTTTATTTTTTTAAATTTTTTTAAATTTTATTTTATTATGTAAGTCACAAACCTCTATTACCTTTTAAATGAAAATTTAACATATATGTATATGTGTAATTTATATTCTCAGGTAAGTCCTATATACAGATACACGTAAGCCAAAAGTACCCTTTAATGTCCAATTCTAATTCTACTAATCAGGAAAATCTCATGTACATACAGACAATGCACAGATGTTTGTTAATGTAAAAATGTAAAAACAATTTTAATAACCATAATATAGAAAATGTGCAAATATAAATATATATATGTAGTATATATTGACTAGTACATATGGACTAGAAAGCATTTATTGAAAAGAATGAGGCAGATTTACATACATTAATATGTGACATATTCCAGATATACCATCATATTGTTAGGTCAAACAAGCAAAATCAAGTCATAGTATTTTTTTTTTAAGATTTCATTTATTTTATTTTTAGAAGGAGAGCATGAACGGGGAGAGAGGCAGTGGGGAGGGAGAGGGAAAGGGAGAGAACCTCAAGCAGATTCCATGCTGAGCTCAGAGCCTGAGGGGGTGCTCAATCTCAGGACCCTGAGATTATGACCTGAGCTGAAGCCAAGAATCAGATGCTCAACCGACTGAGCCACCCAAGTGCCCCAAGTCATGAAGAGTATTAATAAAAAATGTGGAAATAACTATCCCTCCTTCCTCTTGCCTCCTTTTGTTTCCTCCAGAGCTCAAAATCCACGAGGCAGGCATGAGCAGGAATTAACAGTGGCTCAGTGGGGTGGGAAACTGGCTACATTAAGACGAAAAAATAGGTAAATAAACTGAGATAAAGGAAGGCAGGTTTCTTACTGACTGAAAAAAGAGGTATAAATAGAGAAAGTAGGAAACTAGAATAAACTTAGGGGTCTTGGATATGAATTGGAACTAATGATATAAATTCATTGTTTTCAGTATCTAAATAGAGAAATATACATAAATATAATTTTTTTATATTTTACATGAATATATTTCCTAACTATATCCTCTGAGGGGACGGAAGTAGCATCATCCCAGTAGCAATGAGCATATCTACCGTTTAGATGTTAGTTTGAATCAAGGAAAGTACAAGATAAGCCTAGCTGTGCCAGAGAGTAGGAGGTTCTCCAAAAATGATTAGAACATGTCGAAGGACATAGTAACCACCTTAAAGGGATTCCCACTGGCCAAATCTGAGAAAATCTGGACATGAAAGTAAATAATGCTGGTTACAGATTATAACTCATTGATAAAAACAGTAATGTATGAGTCCATGCAGAGATAAATAAATTAACTGAATGAATACATGGGAAGATGAGAAAGCTATTCTTTGCAGAAGAATTTCAACTAATTATGTACAAGGAATAAAAAAATTAGCATTTAGCAGCTGTCAGAATAACTCTTACTAGAAATATCAACAGATGTTAAAACTAGTGAGTGATGCAGGGATGAAGTACAGGATATTTACACAATCTCAAAGTATCTCTCCACAAAATACTGACTAATTACAGAGAGAAAAAAACTATGTTAGTGAAGAAGCCTGGCAAACACCATCTTTTTTTTTTTAAGATTTTAAAAATTTATTTATTTTAGAGAGGGAGAGCTCACATGCATGGACAAGCAGAGGGAGGGGCAGAAGGAGAGGGAGAGAGAATCCTCAAGTAGATTCTAAGCCAAGAATGGAGCCCAACGCAGGGCTCAATCCCAGGACCCTGAAATCGTGACCTGAGCCGAATCAAGAGTCAGACGCTTAACTGACTGAGCCACCCAGACGCCCCTGGCAAACACATCTTGATCAATTAATGGTAAAAGATCAGTAGTGAGACAAACTGACACCATGTGCAACCTGACAGGATGCAGTGAGAACACAGCACCATTTCTGTGATGTTCCTGCCAAAATATATAACTCAGATCCAATCATGAGGAAATGCCAAGCGTATCCAAATTAAGTAGCATCCTACAAAATGACTAATCTGTGGGGTGCCTGGATGGCTCAGTCGGTTAAGTGTCTGACTTCGGCTCAGGTCATCACCTCGGGGTCCTGGAATGGAGCCCTACATTGGGCCCCACGCTCTGTGCGGAGTCTGCCTGTCCCTCTGCCCCTCCCCTGGCTCATGCACTCTCTCTCTCTCAAATAATTAAATCTTTAAAACAAAACAACAAAATGACTAATCTGTAATCCTCAAACATACTAAGGTCATGAAAGCCAAGGAAAGCCTAACTGAAGGAGAGTAGAGGGATGTAACAACCGAGTGCAATGTCTGATCCTTTTCATACAAATGACATCATTGATATAACTGACGAACTTGAATCGGTCTCTGGGTCAAGGGTATTCTTGCAGCTTTTCCGTACCTTTGAAGTTATTTCAAAATAAAAGTTTAAGAGCAAGTATGCAAACATATTTCTATGACTACAAACATTTAACAACATATTTTTAAGGACCATATCTTGCACAATTTAAGTAATATTAAAGCTGACTGCACACACACGGAAGTCTGTGTATACAAAGAGGCAGAAAGATTTTTCTGGAGAGATACAAGGATAAACTCTTAAACTATGGGAGAGAACAGCCATTACCTCTTTTCACTCTCAAGTTTTCAGAACAAGCATGTATTAATGTACAACTGGATAATCCAAAATAAAATCATTTTAAAAGTCATAAAGACTTTAATTTTGGAAAAAGAACAGTAGACATGCTACATATTTTGAAAAAATACATGAACATGGGGTGTCTAGCAGGGCAGCTGAGGGGGCTGATGCAGGATGTAGCAAGGGTGGGAGAAGGGCAGCTGGGAGCCTCTTCAGACAGGAGTGAGCGGGATCATTCTCAGACAGGACATCAGTGATGCAGCCAGGAAACTTCCCTTAGAGAAAAGGGACTGGAAAGAGCAGCTCTGTTGTCATGGCGCTGAAGAGTGACATTAAGCACAGGCCCTGAAAACCATTATTTGACAGGTTGGGTTTTTTTTAACTTTTTTTGTATGTACGTGTGCTAAAATACATAGCACACAAAATTTACCATTTTATCCATTTTTAGGTGTACAATCAGTGGTGATAAGCATATTCACGTTGCTGTGTTTGGTACTTTTGAACAGGAAATTTGGGATTTTTTAAATGTGTCAAAAAGCGATGGCTTTTCTCTTCCACTGAATTATAAAAGTCCATGAAAGGAGACAGATGACTTGGTTATTTGCCTCCTATTAGAAGTCAACAAGGATGCCTTACACCAGCCCTTCCCACAGTACTTAAGCCAGCACTGTGAAGACATAACCAGGAACCTCCTCTTCACCGGTTCTCTGTTTATTTACCAGATCTCTGATTATGACCATAAAGGTGGGAAAGAAAAAAAAAAATGGGTCAATACTAAGTGGGGAAATCTAAAAGAGTCCTCACAGCAACTCAGACGGTAATAGTGGCACCCAGGTAACTACACGATCAACAGTCACTGGCTCCTAATACTACGTAAGCCACAGGACACATGAGAGCTGTCCAGGAAAAGTCTTACAGGCAGCACCACATTTGAGCCATGAAACCGTTAATATCTTGTTTTAACGCTTTATTGTTTATGCTAATGCTCTTTCATCTTCAAAACAGCTCTATAAATCCGTAAAGGACAGGGGCTTTTTGTCCCTAACACAGCAGAAAACTCAGAAAGCAGAAGGGACTCATCTCACCCATCACTGGGATAGTGTAAATGGTCCCCTGGGCAAGTAACTGATCAGACACTAAGATGCGGTACCGAGGAACTGGAGACAACCCCCCCTCCATGCAATCAGCTCTTAGAATGGAATGAGACAAGTACTGGAAGCTCCAAGCTGAGTCTTTGCTGCTTCTGTGCTGCCGGCAACAACCACAAATGAGCTCGAAGCAAACCAAGGAGCTATCCTTTGCCTGTGACAACGAAGCTGTCACCACTCACGTAAGTACCCGTAAGTAACCACCTATAGCGCAGTGATGCTTTGTGTCAGCTGAGGACCCTGTCTTTTCACCCAGGTGGTAGCCGGGGCACCTTCACCAGGGATATGTCTGGGAACCTGCGGTCTTAATTATGCACATGAAAATAAACTCAGTATGACGTACAGAGAGACTATTTATCAGCAGTTAGACTGTTCCCTCTCAAAGGGAGAGTGAGGAAGCTGAGAAGGGGCCACGGGGCCAGAAGCAGATAGCTGAAGGATCTGAACACTGCAGAGAACAGAGAAGAGGTGCTACCAGCAAAAAGGTTGGAACCAACAACCCAAGAGAAAAAGGAAAAGTGAGTATGGGAGTTCTGATTCAGGTTATTTAAAAAAAAAAAAAAGTCTAAAGCCTCAAGTTCTCACTTAAATGTGAACATTGTGCTTTTGTCAGAATTGACTCACATGTCGTCAAGGCTTCGACCACAAATGCTGTCCCCATGTCCATTTCTCTATATTCGTTAAAGCTTTAAACAACGCACTTCTGTGGTTAGACAATATACTTAAATGTATATTAATGTAAGGTCTAGAAATGAATTTCAACTTGAGAAATAAAAGATCTTTTAAAAAAAGAACTTGGGGCACCTGGGTGGCTCAGTGGGTTAAGCATCTGCTTTCAGCTCCGGTCATGATCCCAGGCTCCTGGGATTGAGCCCCACAGGCTCCCTGCTCAGTGGGGAGTCTGCTTCTCCTCTCCCTGTACCTCTCCCCCCAGATCATGCATACTCTCTCTCTCTCTCAAATAAATAAAATCTTTAAAAATTTTTTTAAAAATTAAAAAAAAAATAAAAAGAACTTATTTTCCAAAGAAGACAAACTTTGATACTCTATTATGGACTAAACCAGTGAATATACTTTCAGGTGTCTCGGGGGTCAGCAAACTACCACGTGTAGGCCAGCTGCCTGGTCTTTGCAAATAAAGTTTTACTCCAACAAACTATGTTCATTCGTTTTTGTATCATCTAGGGCTGCCTTTGTGCTAAAACTGAATTGAGCAGTTGTGACAGATGTTGTATGGACTACAAAACTAAAAATATGTACTATCTGGCCCTTTACAGAAAAAGTTTGCAGACTCCTGTTGTATATGAAGAATATTAGACACATAAGGGACACCTGGGTGGCTCAGTCAGTTAAGCATCTACCTTCAGCTCAGGTCATGATCCCAGGGTGCTGGGATCGAGCCCCATGTCAGGCTCCCTGCTCAGTGGGGAGCCTGCTTCTCCCTCTACTGCTCTCCGTGCTTGGGCTCTCTCTCTCTCTCTCTGACAAATAGATAAAATCTTAAAAAAAAAAATATTAGACACATAATAAACACAAACCTGGTGGAGTAATAAGTGTTCTTCTATGTTCTTTACACCAACCGACTGGATGAATGTGTGGACTCGATGCTTCACACCTGTAGTTATATAAATCACAAAATTGTAATTATCAGGATAAAGTCTCAAATAAAAGCAAATGTATATATAAATAATCATATACGCAAGGAAGCTAAAATTATGTCAGCATCTTGTAAGGGCAAACGTGCAAAAAGCTGGAAGCTCGATCACCCTCACAACACAAGCATGCTATTTCTATCATCTCTTACAATAGCAGAGGCCAGGTATCAGGACGGCGTAGTCCCTTCCTAGTCTCACCTCTTTCTTCTTCTCTCTGTCATCTTTACTTCAGTCAAGCACATATCTTCATAAGACCTCTTGAGCAGCATGCATTATGTGGCATCTGATTCCTTGCTCCTGATCAAACTTGTTCTATGTATTCCTCATCTTAACATGCAACTCATTTCATTCATTCATTTGCTCACTCACTCATTTAAACACTGAGCCCTTACAATGCACCAGACACTGGGATAGACACTGAGGATACAGGAACACAGAAAACATGTGCAAAGTTCCTGCTTCTGTGGGGTCTGCAGTATACTGGGAAGAGACAGGAAATAAATTAACCAGATATGTACTCTGGAGGCACAACACTATGGGGACAGGAAGTGGAAGAAAGAAGCAGAGAGCAAAAATGGAAAGGCACCCCTTTATACAACAGAGTTAAGGTGGCCTCCCAAATAAGGTGACACCTAAAGAAAGTGAAGAAAGAGAACTGAGCCACTCAAAGCCATTCCATGCAGAGGGAACAGCAAGTATAAAGGCTACGAGGTGGGAGTCTCACAGCTGGGTCAGGAATAGACTGAGGGAAGCAGAGAATACGGAATAGTATCAGGAAGGGCCTTTAGGCATGATAAGGTCTTGGGATTCTACTCAGAGTAAAATGATGTTTACTAGAATATCATGCAGGGGTTTTAGGCAGAAGAGTGGCATAATCTAATCTATGTTTTGAAGTAATTATTCTACCTGCTTTGCAGACAATTAACCACACTGGAAATGAGATGAGGCTCTTAGAAGGCTTTTGCCAGAGTTGATGATGGTGATCTGGACCAAACTGCTGGTGGTAAAGATAATATGAAGTGATCATGTTTTTAGGTCTATACTTTAAAGGAAGAACCAACAGGATATGCTGGTAGATTTGATACAGAATGTGAGTGATGTGAAGAAGTCAAGAACATTCCAAGGTTTGGGGCATGGGCTGCAGGAAGAATTAGGACCTTGGATGGGAAGACCGCAGACAACAGTTTCTGGCATTGCAAACAGTGAAGAGCTTTGTTATGAACATACGTCTGACAGACAGGGTGAGAAGTCAAAGAGATAATGAGCATAAAAATCTGGGGTTCAAAGACAAGATCAAGGGTAAAAACACACATGTGGGAGTCATCAGCATTTGGGATATTTAAAGTCATGAACAAAAATGAGGCCATCCAGAGAATGCATATAGAGAGAGAACAGAAGAGGTAGGAGGCAAAGAAGTCCAAGAAGAAATGTCTAGAAAATAAGAGAAGGAAAGAAAGAAGAAAGAAATCAATGCTGCTGCTGGATCAAAGAAGAAAAGAAACAAGAATTGATCACCAGTTTTACCAATGTAAAGGTCCTTACCATTCTTGACAAGGGTGTTCTGGTGGAGTTGGGGATAAGAAAGGGCAGAAACCGGAATAGGGACTTTTTTTTTTTTTAAGATTTATTTATTTATTTTAGGTGTAGGGGTGGGGAGAAGCAGAGGGAGAGAGAAACTCAAGCAGACTCTGAGCAGAGCATAGAGCCCAAGGCGGGACTCGATCCCATGACCCTGAGATCACAACCTGAGCAGAAACCAAGAGTCAGACACTCAACTGATTGCACCACCCAGGCGCCCCTGGAATGGGGTGGGTTTAACAGAAAAATGCAAGGATAGCAGATGGAGTCAACTAGTAGAGAAAACATGCTTAAGGAACTGTTTTAAAAGGAAACCGAGAGCAAAAGGAAACTTTCGTTTTTGTTTTCGTCGGGAAATACACAGGGGGAAGCTGGGTGAGGATACATGGACATTCTCTGTACTACCTTTTTTTTTTTTTTTTAAAGTAAACTCTATCTCTCAACGTGGGGCTCAAAGTCACAACTCTGAGATCAGGAGTCGCACTCTCTACTGACTGAGCCAGCCAGGTGTCCTCCTCGGTACTATTTTTTAAGTTTAGAATTGCTTTAAAATAAAACTCTTTATAAAAGATGGGAAATATTACTTCATTTATTCAAGAAATACATGCCGAGCAACTACCATGATCAGGGTAGTGTTCTAGGTGCTAGGTCTATGAGGGGTATCAAAAAACCCCCAAAACCCTTCTCCTATTTGGATACTGATAGGAATAATTTAACAGAGAGGGATGACCTACTGATGGAGAAGACAGAAACGACTTGGTGGGAGGGAACAGACTCTCAGGCATGAGAGCGGGCCCCCAAGGCAGGGGCAGGCACACCACCCAGGTGGGACTTGTGTCACAGACAGGGTTCGGTCTATGGGCAGAGACCAGGAATATACCCACCAGACAAGACGCACATCTCTGCTGACCATCTTTTTTCTCACTAACCAGGAAACGAGGTTATCAGTTGAGAAGGAGAGTAGGGAAGGAAGTGAGAGAGGTTCAAGAGAAAAAATGGAGTGGAATTTAGTGGTCCAGAAGAACAGACAGGAGTCTGTTGAGCAGGACTATGGGGCAGGCCTGAAGGCCACCTGAGATTAGCGGTCGTGAATGTGACGTCAGGCGAGTGAGCATGCTGCGCCCTTCTCTAGCTCCATTCAGCCACTCGGGCGCAGGCATAAAGTCAGCACAAAGTGAGCTCAACCAGGGTTGGGATTTTGCCAGGCAAACACAGTACAAGGCAGTAGAGGCCACAGTTACAAGGAGTACTTATAGCAGGATTACAAAATAAATGTATAGGCATCTAGAGACACATCACAATTAAAATCTGTAAAAAAAATTTCCTATCGGTGTTCTCAAAGTTAAAGGGCCAAGTGGTTGAGATATTTAATGCATTGCTAGCATATTAAAGACTGAAGTTATACTATAAAAAAACAGGTTTCAAATTATTTAACCTAGCATTCCCTAAAAATATCTAACTATAAAATACCGCTTCGGGGCACCTGGGTGGCTCAGTTGGTTGAGCGACTGCCTTCGGCTCAGGTCATGATCCTGGAGTCCCAGGATCGAGTCCCGCATCGGGCTCCCTGCTTGGCAGGGAGTCTGCTTCTCCCTCTGACCCTCCCCCCTCTCATGCTCTCTCTCTCTCATTCTCTCTCTCAAATAAATAAATAAAATCTTTAAAAAAAAAAAAATACCGCTTCAATGGGCAATCCATTAGAACACTAGTGTTTTGCAGAACACAGTTTGGAAAATGTTGGTCTAAAGGATGCCAAGGAGCCCAGTCTTGCTCTATTAACCAGATCCGTTGAGCCTATGCTAAAAGATCAGGAAATCTCAACACAGCCATCTGGATGGAAAACTAAAAGAGAGAAAGCGAGGAAGGTAACACAGTGGCTAGAGTTTCTGGTGAATAAAAAAAGCTTATGACTACTGAAAAACAAAGAACTTTCTAAAAAAAATGCTCTAAGTGAATGAGATCAACATATAGTCACCTCTTTTCAAACCAACTTTCAAATTAGTAGCCCTGAACAGTAACAAGGTGCGTTGATATAGCCTCAATTTAATGTTGATTTTTCTCAGACTTATTTCAGTGAAAAATACCTTTAAATTTATAGTTAAAGGTTTCTTCCTTTCTCTTCTTTTATTCACTTGTTATCTCCTACCATCCTTCCCCACGCTATTATTTCTCTTAATCTATGTATTAGGGTTATGTGTATATGTGTATGTCATTATTTTAGAAATGTAAAAAGAAAACAAACACTGCTAGGTCAATGCTAAGTTCATACAACAATTGGTACATTTCTTACAATGATATATTTTCATAAAAGGTATTTTAATATACAATTCCTTAAAATACCTCCTGTTGTGGGAATGCAAATTGGTGTAGCTACTGTGGAAAACAGTATGGAAGTTCTTCAAAAAATTAAAAGCAGAAATACCATATGATCCAGTAAATCACTACTGGGTATTTACTCAAAGAATACAAAAACACTAATTCAAAAGAATATATGCACCCTTATGTTTATCACAGCATTATTTACAATAGCCAAATTATGGAAGCAGCCCAAGTGTCCATCAATAGATGAATGGATAAAGATGTGGTAAATACATACAATGGAATATTATTCAGCCGTAAAGAATTAAATTTTGCCATTTGCAATAATATGGATAGATCTAAAGAGTGTAATGCTAAGCAAAATAAGTAAGTCCGAGAAGGAAAAATACCATATGATTTCACTCATATGTGGCATTTAAGAAAAACAAACAAAGGGGGTGGAAAAAAGAGGCAAACCAAAAAACAGACTCTTATAGAGCACAAACTTATGGTTACCAGAGGGGAGGTGGATGGGGGGGATGGGTGAAACAGGTGAAGGGGATTAGGGATACACTTATCTTGCTGAGCCCTGAGTAATGTGGGTAATGGCTGAATCACTATATTGTACCCTGAAACTAATATAACACTGTATGTTAACTATACTGGAAATGAAATGAAATAAAAGTATTCTGTTATAAATTGTATAAACAAGACTATAAAGCTCTATTTCCAGCTATTCTACTCTTTTCCAAGACAATCATCTGGTTATGGATTATTACTGATTATGTATTGCCTCTATTTCAGAGAAATTCTTATTTTATTTTAGAGAAAGGCGTTAACTCACATAGGGCTCATTAAAAATAATAAAAAGAACACATACACCATAGTTGTCTACTTTTTTTCTTCCCAGTCTAATACAGCTTTCAAATAGTTTTTATAATTACCTGCCAGGCTCATGGCGATTAAAGTAAGAACAGTGACATTACTAATTCTTTTGATTTTATTGCATTTCTCTATAAACTGCAATTAAGGAAAATATTGTGGTGTATCTTGGCCACACATTCCTGTAAGAATCGAATCTTAT